CTGATCCTGCTTCAGATGTTTCAGCAGCTTCATTGGAGTTCACCTGTGCTCAATTCAGCTGATGGACATGATCTGAAAAGGCTACAGCTGTCTATATAAGGGCGCAGGGTTGACAGTGCATGTCAAAGCACAAACCAAGCATGAAGACAAAGGAATTGTCTGTAGACCTCTGAGACAGGATTGTCTCGAGGCACAAGGCTGGGGAAGCTTACAGAAACATTTCTGCTGCTCTGAAAGTGGCCTCCATCATCCGTAAGTGGAAGATGTTTAACCACCAGGACTCTTCCTAGAGCTGGCCGGACATCTAAGCTGAGTGATCGGGGGAGAAGGGCCTCAGTCAGGGAGGTGATCAATAACCCGATGGTCACTCTGTCTGAGCTCCAGCGTTCTTCTGTGGAGAGAGGAGAACCTTACAGAAGGACAACCATCTGTGCAGCAATCCACCAATCAGGCATCTGTATGGTAGAGCGGGCAGACGGAAGACACTCCCCGCCTGGAGTTTACCATCTGAAGGACTCTCAGAGCATCAGAAACTAAACTCTCTGCTCTGATGAGACTCAAACTGAACTGTTTGGAGTGAACACCAGGCGTTACGTTTGGAGAAAAGCAGGCAGCGCTCATCAGCAGGCTAACAGCATCTCTACAGTGAAGCATGGTGGTGTTGGCATCATGCTGTGGGGATGTGTTTCAGCAGCAGGAACTGGAAGACTAGTCAGGATAGAGGGAAAGATGAATGCAGCGATGTACAGAGACATCCTGAATGAAGACCTGCACAAGAGTGCTCTCCACCTCAGACTGGGCCGACGCTTCATCTTCCAGCAGGACAATGACCGAAGGAAAACGCCAAAATATCAATAGAGCGGCTTCACAATAACTCAGTGAATATCCTTGATTGGCAGAGCCAGAGCCCAGACCTAAATCCTATTGAACATCTCTGGAGAGATCTGAAAATGGCTGTACACCGTCGCTTCCCATCCAACCTGATAGAGATTGAGAGGTCCTGCAAAGAGGAACGGGCAAACATTCCCAAAGACAGGTGAGCAGAGCTTGTGGCATCATATTCAAGAAGGCTGAGCAAAGCCTGTGAATACTGGTGCACATGTGATTTTTTACATTATAATTATGGGGGATTGTGTGTAGAATGTTGAGCAAATCAATTAAGTTAATCCATTGTGGAATAAGGCTGTAACAAAAAAAAAAAAACTGTAGAAAAAGTGAAGCGCTATAAATACTTTCTGAATGCACTGTTTACTCCATCAGCTGTTTTAGTTTCTGTCAGCTTTGTGTTTTTGTCTGTTTGACACCATCTAGTGTAATAATAGTGAATAATAATCTAGTGAATAATGTGGAGGTTAGTGTATACTCCATCTTTGTAATTAACTAATTAAATAAGTAATAAACTATTACATCTCAGAACAATGTTTTGTATCTAATTATTGTGTAATTCTTATGTTTTGGTGGCCAGTAGCCTGCAATAAGCAGAATAAAGTATATCAGGATGGTTGTTTTCTCAGAATAAACCCTTCATTCTTATCTGACAGCTGCTGATAAACCTGTCAGGCTCTATATGGCGACCTCCTGGATGTACTGTTTCCCTAACAGGGTTATATACCTTAATACAAGGATTCATCTGTTCCAGGATCCATCCAGACAGACTGAACTGAACAGAAAGAGTCTAATCAGATTATAAAGAGCAACAGCAGCCGTTTTATTAGATCCACATCTCGGTGTCAGCTCTTATTAATGTCTGAAGAAGAGCACAAACACCTAAAAATACTCTATATGCTTTCATAAATCACAGAATTTAACTTAAATAATCATATTAAAATCTAGAATTAGTTATAAATTTAATGTTTAAACTAGTCTCATTTGTACTCATTGGTTGCATTTATTTAATCAATAAATAGAGCAAACTTTTCAATATTTTTACAGTTTAAAATAGATTTTATGTCTGTAATTAAAGATTTGATTTTTATCCTCATTACTCCTGGAGTAATAATAACATTTAAAGACTCATAATAAAAACACTGCATATCTGAACAACTCCATTCATTTTACATTATTATCATTTTTATTTAAATAATAATAATAATAATCATCATCAACTGTTTGATGATTATCAAAACTGATGTTCTTCCTCAATATTTATGTCTAGTTTTCCATAATAAACATAATATGTAAAAACAAAATCCATAAATACAAGTACTGAAACTGCCTGAAGATTCACGTTTTTAGACTTGCCAGTTTGTGAGGTGTTCATTCATTCACTTCCTTTATGCTTAGTCCCTTATGTATCAGGGGTTGCCACAGCGGAATGAATCACCAACTTTTCCAGCATATATTTTGCACAGCGGATGCCCTTCCAGCCAACCCAATAGCTGGTTTGCTCTGCTGTGGAGATGCCGAGTGTTTCTGTGTGTTTTAGAGTTCAGGATCTGCAGAGAAATCAGGCCACACACACACACACACACACACACACACACACACACACACACACACACACACACACACACACACACACACACACACACACACACAATTATCATTAATGCTGTATTTTCGGGATGCGTGTGTGTGCGCGTAGACATTCAGAATCATCAGTGCTGATCAAACTGTGTGTTTACACTGACCTCATGTGGTAAAAGCAGAACAATGCAACCTGTTCTCGGATTAGCATCCACCACAATACACGCAAAAACAACCACAACACACACTTAAAAGAAAAGCTACTGGGGTTTACACATATTTTACCTCCAAAAATAAATACTATTTTGTAACCAAACTTTAAACATTTGTACTTTTGTTTGTTTATTTATTTATTTATTTATTTATTTATTATTTTAAGTTAAAGTTAGATTTTTCATTTTTTATTATAGTTTTTGTTATAATTTACGTTATTTTGATGTATGTATTTTTGTAAAATCAGTAAAATCAATGAATATTTTTAAGACATACAGTTGAATTATTCGCCCCCCTGTTTGTTTTCTCCCAATTTCTGTTTAATGGAGAGCAGATTTCTTCAACACATTTCTAATCATAATAGTGTTAATAACTCATCTCTAATAACTGATTTATTTTCTCTTTGTCATGATGACAGTAAATAATATTAGACTAGATATTCTTCAAGACACTTCTATACAGCTTAAAGTGACATGTAAAGGCTTCACTAGGGTAATAAGGGTAACTAGGCAGGTTAGGGTAATTAGGCTTATTGTATAACTATTGTATAATAATTAAGTTATTGTATAATGATGGTTTGTTCTGGAGACTATCGAGAAAAAAAAAGCTATCTTAAAGGGGCTAATAATTTGGTCATTAAAATGGGTTTAAAAAAATTTAAAAACTGCTTTTATTCTAGCCGAAATAAAACAAATAAGACTTTCTCCAGAAGAAAAAAACATTATCAGACATACTGTGAACATTTCCTTGCTTTGTTAAACATAATTTTTGAAAAATTAAAAAAAAAAAGAAATTCAAAGGGGGGGGGGGGGGTAATTCTGACTTCAACTGTGTCTATATTAGGTCAACATCTTCATTGCAGAGCTATCGTGATGTATGAGTTCTGTACAGGTTAAATATGATCTAAATGCTTTGATTATTTTTTTATTTTATAACAATGAAAACATGCAGATGGTCTGCTTTCAGAGACTGTTACATTTCCATGAGCATCAGTGGAGAAACATGATTATTTTTTAGGCTTGACAGTTAAATGTATCATGAAGTTTAACATGAAAACACATTACCATGACTTATTCATCATGCCATTGTTTTACAGTGTATTCTTCTGTAGCTCCACTTCTGGATTAGAACATATGTGGGCGGGGAGGGGTTGATTGGATGATTGTGATTTGCTAGATATGAAAGCAGGTATACTAAGGCTGTCCACTAGAGAGAGGGCAATCACTGAATCAGTAGGGGCGTACTCATACTGGGTACAGCTGCTTTGAGCCATGCCGAAGCACGATTGTGCCTCCTTCCTCCTCCCTCTCGCTCTGCACTCAGTAGCGTTGCAAGCTTAACTGGTGCCCTAGGCAAACGACAATTGTGCTGCCCTCATGGTGTTCCTGTTGGACTTTCGCTGATTAAAGTGAAGAATGGTGGGGGGTGGAGTCAAAATTTAATAGCGGGGTGAGGGCGGGCTCTCCATGCCTAGCAAGATGCCACCCTGAGCGATCGCCCATTTTACTCGTTTATATCCGCCACTGGATTCCCGGTTCGTTTCACTTGTGTGAATGCTCCGAATACAGTTAGCCGGTCCTGGCCCGGTTGGATGAGGTGTGCCAGAGCACGGTTTGGTTGGCGTGGTATTCCAGAGTTTAGAAACCATAAATGAGAAGGTTTGACCTCCTTTAGTGGACTTTGCTATTCTAAGTACTACAAGAAGCCCTGAGTTTTGAGCGGGTTGGATTGTAGTGGGACAGGAGGTTGGTTAGATAAACAGGAGCTCCATTATTGAGAGATTTATAAGAAGCAATATTTTAAATTCAATACGAAACTTAACAGGCAGCCATTGTCAGGAAGATAACATTTAACCCATTTGTATTGTTTAGATTGACTCTCCTTTGGGTATGTTGGTGCAGTTTTTTGCCCCATTGACTTGCATTATGATCACATGTATTGATTATAAGGGCATAACAGCATATAGTCATGCATTCTTGACTGATGCTGGTGTTTTCCCTGTTGGGAAGAGGGACAATTTGCCATTTCTACTGTTGATCATCAGCTGTCAGCATTAACCCTTTAGATAGGCCTGTGCTGAAGGGTTTCTGTCTTTTATATGGAGCTCAATGGTGTAAAACAGCAGATTACAGTGTGTGTGCTTACACACACTTACCGTGTTCTGAGGGGATGAGTGTATACGTGTAGGTTTGCTTGTGTGTCTGTCTGTGTTTGTGGAGAAAGAGAGAGAGTGTGTGTGTATCTGTGTTTGTGTGTCCGACTCCATCCAGCACCCTTCCTCCTCTCCTCTCCTCTTCCTCCGCCGGCGAGATGACGTCACCGCGTCGGTGGATCTGCGGCTGCTGACGTCACCGCGCGCGTCCTGGAGCCTCCCGAGCGAGCGAGCGCGCGCGCTGACGGACCGCAGCAGCAGAAGGCCGAGGCTCCGCCGCCGGGGATCGAGCTTCTCACGCCGGACAGAGAGTTACCGCGACATGCAGGCTTCACCGGAGGAGCTGCGGGCCGGCTCCCGGCTCCCGGTCACCGTCGAGCAGATCCTCAACGACACGCTGGTGGTGACGCTCCGCTACCGGGAGAAGAGCTTCACCGGGATCCTGCTGGACTGCAGCCGAAAGTGAGTCGCTTTCTTTGTGCTGTTGTTGGGTTTTATCACGGAGAAAATAACGGAGTTTATTCGCGTCAGGCCGCAAAATGCAGGCCGGAGCACCGAGCAGGCCTCCAGCAGAAACAATGAAAACACACACTGACCACCGTCATCATCCTCCTCATCTTCATCTTAGTCAATAACAGCGACATTTATGACTGCACTGTCGAGTTATGTGCTTTATTATGATTTATGATGAGGATGATGAAGATGATGGTGATGATGATAATGATGAAGGTGTGTGTCTCTTTGTGTATTTCTCGGTCAAACACTGCTGCTTTATCATCGATCATTTGTCGGAGAATCTCAAATCTTCATTTATCATTAATAACCTGATTATCCTGGATGTCTTTATATCTTCATTATTCTTCATTGTGAGCTTGTTATGGACACATTCAGTGTAAAGGTCAGCTATTCAGGGATCCTTTATAAAGGCAGATTTTGGGTTGCACTTATTAAAACACACACACACACACACACACACACACACACGGCCTTGTTTAAGCAGTGTAAACACAACATTGTTATTGATCATAATAATAAAGAGCTGTCATTAAATGTTCATCTTTTTATAGTTATTATTATGTTGTTTATTTTATGTTCTGTTGATAATGTTTGTCTGCAAAAATCTGACATTAATGCTTTACTTTCTGTGTAAATATGAATATATTCACCTGAATGTGTGGTTGTGTGTGTTTATAGACAGGACGACAGAGTGTTATATCACTTCATAATCTTCATCCTATTCAATAACAGCGACATTTAGGATTTTACTGTCGAATTATGTGCATTTATTGTTATTTATGAAGATGTGTGCGTGTCCCTTTGTGTATTTCCCCATCAAACACTGCTGTTTATTCAGCTCGTCCATCAATCATTAGTCAGAGAATCTCAAATCTATCATTAATCAGTCGTATCACTTCATTCATTATCAGCTTGTTATGCACACAAATTCAGTGTAAAGGCCAAATATTCAGGGATTCTTTATAAATGCAGATCTTAGGTTGCGCTTTTTTTTTTATTAAATCACACAGTCAGTGGAACACAACATTAATGTTGTTCATTATAATATTAATGAGCAGTCATTATGTGTTCATCTTTTTGTATTCAGTTTTATGTTGCGTATATTAGTGTTTGTGTGATAACGTGATGTTTCATTCTGTGTGACTGTAAATATGAATATATTTGCCTGATGGATATTTATAGACATGCCGGCACAGTGTTATATCACTTCATAGAGCCTGTGGCGTCTCTGTTATTGATCAGCACACAACATTCTTCGTTTCTCATCATTGTTATAATGTTGTTTCCATATGTTATTGTAAGTTATGTATTAAATATTTAGTGTTGCTATGAATATATAAAATGCTCCTAATATGGAATTAAAACATTAATAAATAAATAATGTTTCTCTGGATTTTTGCATGCATTTAGTTCACATTTTTGTGTATCATATAAGATCAGAAATGTGCAGTGCTCAGCATATATTAGTACACAAATATTTCTTAAATTCATATGTTTAATGGGAGCTCTACAATATTATATCTGTGCAGATACGTTAGATTAGTCAGTGCTGAAGACAAATCTGGAGCTGATGTGATAATGCTCCAAACACTAGTACAGCAACATTTATATGTCATTGAGAAGTATTTAATAAACATTTTAAAAGGAGGAAAATTAAGAGAAGCAAAAAAAAAAAAAAGTACAATTTTGTAGGCTGTAATTTATTTTTGCAATATTTTGCTTGAATTTAATTGTTTAATCTTCAGTTTCTAAATATGTTTGGTGAAGAAAATATTATTTTAATAAATATATCTGTTTAATAAATCTGTTTTGTTGTTAATAAATGCACCGACTGAGAAATGGAGGAAACATATTAATTTTTGAAATGGGCTATACTCAATTATGCTGAGTACTGTATGAGCTCAGTTTATATGTAATTAACATTATTTATAAAAAAAAAGCTACTGAATGCCACAATATTTTTTTGTTTATAATTTATATGATGATTAGGTGGAATTTCATATATTTAGCTTAAAGGTAAAATATTTTTGATGTATTATCAATATATAAATGTTTATAAATATAAGTGTCTGTTAATGAACAGTTTCTGTATTTTGTGTGTATTTGCCCTGGTGAATTACATTATGAGGGCATTTAGCTCTGTATAAATCTAATATTTTATTCATAATGGTCTTAAAAATGTCTTAAAGTTAACTTGGTGAAACCGGCAGAAACCCTGTTTTAGCCCTTTGATATAATAATATAATATTATGTATAAGAAATAATGTCCAGAGAAACGAGTGTGTGAAATAACAGTAAATGTGCTGCAGTTTATTTAAGGTTTCTGTAGCGTAATATACAACACCAACCTAGACAATATAGCCCTGCAGACTATTACACAAGTCATTAAGGTCATCTTTTACAACATTTCAAGACTAAAAGAAGATGACAGAAAGATTAAACTCCCATAATGCAACTCAAAAGCAGAAATAAATGTTGAAAAATGAAAACATAAATCACAAAATAGGTAAAAATGCTAATTTATTTGTATTTTCACAGTTTATTTATGAAATATTAAAGCATAAATCAGAGGATGGTGAATAATTTATTCTTCAGGTGTACATCTGCATTTTTTATTTGTAAAATCCATGTTTTTTTGTGCTGGGGTTTAATGAAATGTGCTGATTCATGGCTTTTTTCCTGTGTGTCATCATGCATCACATCCTGCTAGGAACACTTTTATTGTTGAAGAAGCTTGAATAATCATTATCATCTGTTCTGTGTTCTGCTGCTTTTCTGATTGGGCTAAACATGCTTTTATATTTGAACATTCAGACTTTCACCTTCCTGATATAAACTCAGTGATGTATTGTTTGCATCTTCTAAATAAGGAAATCATTTTAGCAGCCAATGATTATCATAGTACAACAGTTAATTAAATAGTGCTAATGTTGCTCTGAAGTCATTCTTATTTCAGACCCAATATATTATGTACCTGCTTCATTTTGTACTTTCATAGCAGTAGTAAGTCATTTATAATTCATCTGCATTGGCCTTTTTAAATTCTGCTTTTGTATTTGAATGCCAAAGTCTGAATGTGCGAAAATAAAACCATCTTCACCTCAATTATTTGTGCTGTAAAAAAGGCTGTTTCACACAATACAATCATGTTGTCCAAACCATACCTGACATCCCTGGATTCTCCCGTATTTTACAGTTCTATCCTGCTATTATCCCGTAAAGGTGTTTTCCCGTATTTCTTCCATATTTTCAGTCTTTCTGTGAAGGTTGGCAAAAAACATTAAAGAGCCGATCCTCCTTATACACAACCATACTGCCAAGCCTTCAGGGGACACCCCTTGCTCTTAAGTGTGAATCTGTTCTGTGCTTTCATTTTATTTAGACATGAAAACACTTTAAAATAATTATAAATACAGTGCGATTCCCTTCCTTTTCATTACATGTGTCGTAGCCCCACCTATACAATCTTCAAAACAGTCAGTTCATGTAGCTGCGTCTC